TGGGTGTTTTGGGTGTATTACTAAAAAAGGAAATTTTTAGGAATTTTGAGATTTGCGGGAAAGAGTTTTTTTTTTTTTTGATATAATAAATTTCTTTTTTAGGTTATAAATAAAATAATTTATAAATTTTACATAAAACAAGTAATTTTTTATTATATATTTATTTTTAGTTTAATACTTATTTATTTAAGTTCTATAAAATCAGATAAATAGATTTTTCAATATTTTAAAAATAAAAATTTTAAATTATATATTATTTGTCTATATAATATTGATAAAATATAAATAAAAATTTAACTTGATTTTATTTCAAATATTTTTTTATATATTTAAATTTTTTGATTGAAAATATTTTTATATAAAACTATTTTATAAATTTAATAAAAAATAATAATAGTTTTTAAAAAAATAGTTTATAATAAAAACAAAAAATTAATAATTATTTTAATATATTAAACTTTTTTCTAACTATTTATTTTATTAAAAAAAATTTTTTTATAATAATTTTTGTCAAGAAAAAATACTTTATACTTTTTATTATAAGTGAATCTCAATTTAAAAACTTAAAAATTAAGACAACTAATATAATAAAATAAGATTTTCAATTAAAATCTATTCAAATTTGAAAGTCTTATTTATTTTTTGATTGTATAAGAAAAAATCTATAACAATTTCTTATTCTTTTGTTCTTTTTGTACTTTTTCTTATTTTTATTCTATTATAAAAATAAACACTTTTTAAAAAATATACTGAAACAAAATTAATAGGTCTATTGTTTATTTCAAATTAATTCTCAAATATAACTATATTATAATAACATTTGCTATTTAACTTAGTTTTAGTTTTAATAGTATTTGTTTTATTTTTTACTTTTTTATTTTATCAAAAAATTTTGCAAAATTTTTGAGTTGATAGGCATAGCTATTATTTAGCTATATTCAATATATTAATATTATCTTTGAAATGTTTTTAATATTAATTAAATATTGATATGTAGACAAGCTAGCATTTAACTTTTTATATACTTTGTATCCAAAAAATATTGTTTTTTTTATGATATATATCTTGTTATATATAAATCAAATAAAAAAATAATGCCTTACCTACTGGAAAAACCCTCCAAAAAAAAAGAAAAAAGAAATATTCGTAATGAAATATATTTTCTTTTAATAATTTTTTGTTTAAAAAATTCTTTTTAACTTTAAATTCAAAATTATTTTTTTTTACAAAAATGTTTTTATTATTGACATTACTAAATTTATACAATATATTGGTTTAACTGTAATATGAATAATATAAAAATATATATTTTATTATTTACAGTAAATGTAAAATTTCCAATTAATAAAAATTTAAATTGAATTAAAAAAACATTATTGTGATATATTGTATAAGTGTAGCATATTCACTAAAGTTTATTGATAATAAAAGAAATACGTTATAAAACTTTCGAGTTTTTGAATGTATGATCAAAAAATTCATCTCTAAGTAATAAAAATATTTATGAATGGAATAGTGCACAAGTAGGGTTGAAGAAATGTTACAAATGTATAAAGATATATTCAAGAAGCGTAAGAGATTTGAAGTGTTTCGTGATATTTTGATTATCCTTTCTAACAGAAATTTGACAAAACAATCAAAAGTTAATTGTGTGGGTCATACCCAATTTTTTCAAAAATAATCAATTCACCAATCCGGATCCATGTCTTTTCAAGAAAGCATCTTTCAAAATCGTATTAATTGACTCATACTCGGACATGGATGACGAACGAATCGGAGGACTATCGCAATTGTTACTAACTCCATCGTTAGAAAAGTCATGCCTCGAATTATGAGTCGCGGTGCTTGCACTCATTCCGATTAGGCCTCGCTCATCTATGTCCATATTGCCAAGTTCGCCTTGTAATTCGTTTATGATGTGTGAATTCCGCGTCAAATTTGCAAGATACAATACAGAATTAATGTTGGCATAAGGGTTAAGGTATTCTGCATCGGACGAAGATGCATATGCGTCAGATCTTGTCGATATGCGAAGTGGATAGTGGTAGGGTTTATGTGAATTATTTTGTTGTAGACGTGAAGATTGATGTATCTGTTCTTGATTGTAATTGTGATAATGATATTGAGTGGAACTTTCAGTAGCATTAAAAGGAGAATAGGGGGAGGGCGTCTTCGGAGAGGAGGATTCAGAACCTGAGTTTTGATATGTAAAGTTTCTAAAATACAGAATGAGTAGTTGAGGTATTAAATGGAACGGAAGGCGCAAGTATGAAAGTCGAGAGCAACTAATTGCGTCTCCCTGTCACAGCGTCGCGGAGGAATTCACCTCAACAAGGTTAACCGAAAGGTGCCTAAATCACCGAAACAAAGATAAACTAACCTCGAAGCGTCCGGCTCCAGATCTAATCTCATTCTCTTCACTTCTTTCTCCACAACTCTCCCGGTCGTGTCCTTGTCTTTGCCAATGTAGAATTCTTGATCCTTAAAATTGCCGCTCAACTCGTCCTCACTCTCCTCGTTTGAAATGCGAGAGCGTTTAAAACCACGCAAGCCACAACTGTTTAGTACGGAAACTTTCATCATAAAAAAGTTGGACAGTTACATTCAGGAAAGGTTCGTATAAAAAGTAAGTTCACTCGTAATGTCATTCTAAATACGTGCGTACGTAATTTGTGCGACTGATGCATACGCACTCTTTTTAAAGGATGTATTCTTGAAAAATGGTGAATTTTGTAAATTCCATAATTGTAAGGCAATTGTTAAAATGGAATACTTTTTTTTGGTGAAAAAAAATCAAGGCAGGATTTTATAGTAAACAGCACCACGGAAACGAAAGCGGTTCTTGACGAATGCCTTCGGGGTTCAATTATCATATTATATTATTCAATATACATGTATATCTTACAAGATTGTATTTTCCGATAGTAATTTATTCCTGTATAGGTCAAAGACCTACTATATTTCACATCGAAGTCGTGTCAAATTATACAAAATCAAGTTAGGATCACACGACTCGCATAATCTTGACTATGTTACACAGATTTTGTGGCTGAGTTTAATATAACCACAACAGTGATGAAAAAATCCGCAAAGAAAAAAATATATTCTATCACTATCCCGAGCTACCGCTTGAACCCCTCTCTTTACTTCACCAAGTTCGAATTTGTATTTCAATTGTAATCATTGTATATCAAAAGATTAGGTGTATTGTTTGGAATCTTGGTAAGGACATTCTTTGTAGCCAGTTTAATAATCTTATTCTTGAGTTCAAGAGGGGTTAAAGCCTTGGTATAAAAGTCTGATTCATCGTCAACTTGAAGAGAGAGTAAGTATGCTACCAAACCAGCTACATGAGGGGAAGCCATTGAGGTTCCGGAGATGGTGTTTGTGGCATAGCGGGATCCAATCCAAGTGGATGTGATATCCTTACCCTAATATTTGAAGCCGTAGAAAATTAGAATTGACGCAAATTGAAAACAACGACTGAAACATTATTACTTCGAACCAAAAGAAAAAAGGTAAATATACTCACAGGAGCAAAAACATCGACACATTTACCGTGATTAGAGAACCAAGCACGTTCGTCCTCGATGGTAGAAGCACCGACGGTTATAGCTAACTCAGATGCGGCTGGCGAGAAATCGCAGGCGTCACGGTTGTCGTTACCGGCAGCAACTGCAAAGTTGATACCAACCTCGACGGCCTAACAAAAGAAAATCATGTTAAAACACACATATAACGTCACCATGAATATGTCTCGGAGACGACAATGCATGATTAGGAAGGACCTACCCCATCAACGGCAAAGTCCAAGGCCTTACTTCTACCACCACCCAAACTCATATTAGCACCTGAACCTTTGAAAGGTTTTCCTTCTTTTTTGGCTTTTTCTTCGGCTTCCTGATGTGCTTCAGCAGCATATTCAACACCTTTAATAACATCTGACATGGTACCAGAACCGTTCGATCGCAATACTTTAACGGCGACAACTTTAGCTTTCTTAGCTACACCATACCTTTTACCCGCAACAGTACCAGCAACGTGAGTACCTATGGAAATTATAGAGATGGAGGGTTAAGAAAACGAAAAAAAAAGGATATCCACATTTAAGATGTTACAATACTATTACATACCGTGTCCGTTGCCATCAATATCTTCGTCATTGTCAGGGATTGTCGAACCCCATACAGCACGACCTCCAAAGTCGGAATGATTAACATTTATACCAGTGTCGATTATATAAACCGTGACTTCCTCTCCTCCTCTTGAATCATATAGATATTTGTTGAAAGTACCAAATGTCAAAGCGCCACGATGTGCAATTCTGGCCAAACCCCATGGAGCATTTCGTTGAAGTTCAGACGCATATACCATTTGATCTTTTTCCACCCAAGCCACCTGCAATAAGAAAAAAATCGGTGATTTTTAGTTAATCGATAATCACATTTTGCTACGCATCAAAATCGATTCCGTTTTCATGAAATGCTTTGGATACAAGTTCATACCTCGTCACTGCGTCTGATCTTCTCCAAAACATCATCGGTAAAACGACCGGCATAGCCCTTTAGATTTTTAAAACTATAAGTGTGTTTGATACCAGATATCAACTTATCAAGGAAACCTCGCTTGTTGAGTTTATCATTTTCCTCCTCGACCAGAGAACGAATTTTGTTGTGGTGGCAGTCAATATGTTTCTTCTCAAGTTGTTCTTTGAAAACCACGATATACGAGTCAGGGATAACTTGAGAATCAGGCGACGAGTATAAAGGAGCAACTCGTTGTTCCTCATGAGAACTATGGTAAGGTGCGGAGGCCGCTGAGGAAACAAATAAGGCTACAGCAAGAAACAACTTATTGGGCTTCATGACAGATAAATAACGTAGCCTTAGGTTGAATCAATATACAAACGAGAAAAAGAAAAATGCTCTGATAAAAAAAAGGTCGGAGGAATATATACAAAACAACGAAATTGCCTTGAGAAAGGTTTATTTGTGAACAGGCGTAAATATGTGTAATCCTCCGGCCAATCATTGGACGCAGTAGATTATTATTTCCCAATAATATAAGGGGTTACTGCCCGTTTTTAATTAGAAGGATCGATAAATTTAGTTTGTTTGTTGTACAACTAGACGGCGTCACCCGAAATTAGTTACGATTTTCCGTTGTTTCTTAAATGTGATAATAATAAACACATTGACCTAGAGGCCCAAAAATTTACGTAAACTTTAAAATGTTACGTACTTGATCTAGACCTGGGTACTAATATCTCCGACCTTTGAGCATAGACATTTTGCTCATACGAAGTGTGTGCGCATCTCTAATCCGGAAGTACGTGAATCACACATAATTCTTATTAAGAAGACTATATATACAGTACTTTTAGAGTACATTTGTTCAACAATCGTCAATGTTCACTTATTATGATTTTGTGTCTGTCAGGCGACTTTCGCAACTATCATGTCGTCATCGATGTACGTAAGCTAAGACGATACGCACGCAATCGATTAATGATTATCGGATCTCCCATCAAATGTATTTGTGATCACGGAAAAGAGTATATGCAATTCAGCAGTTTAGACCTGGGATATTGAATATTAAGCCGGGAATATTGATTAATAATTAAAAAAATTTTAATCAATATCTACAAAATCGCTCGTACTATAATGAGCTCTTAAATTGAAGGCTTTATTATATACATGATATCAAACATATTAATTTATATGACCGGATATCGGGTGGGAACATACTTAAAAATACTTATGGATTAATCTCTTCATATTCTCATGATTGGAAAACTTGTTATACCCTATAATCGTATATAATACAAAAGGAAAGTCCTATTTTGTTAATATCATCAATAATTGATTGTATACATATGGATAACAAATAAAATTACCAAATCAATTTGAAATTTAGTCGTTTTTTTTAATCAAATAAATATTATTATTAATCCCAATTATTCAAGGCAAATAAGCAAACCTACTTGATTAATTTAAAAAAATTGTTATTCTATAGTTCAGACATACGTCAGCGTTAAAAATTCCGCACAAAAAATTTGTGCACAGTTCTATACATGCACATTTCTGTATAATCTTTCTTTTTATAGTAATGTAACGTGATATTTAATAATAATGATCATAATAATAGAAATAATAAGTTTGTATCTTTATTAAATATAGAATATGGCAAACCAAAATAAATATTCAACTATCGAAAAGTTAGAATCTGAAACCTTGGATAAAAAAAAATCTCATAATTTAATAAGTCCTCTTTCTTTTTGATTAAAAGATTGATATGGTTAAAATATCTTAAGTTAATAGATCCTTATATATGTTTTGTAAATAATGCAAAACAACAAAATATAATAACATATTTATTCAAGAAATTAATATTTTTTTTTTTTTTTTTTTTTTTTTTTTTTCGTTGTTAATTTGT